GCTGAAGGACACAAGGCCAGCTTCTGTCTGGAGGACACGTCATGTGACCCGGGGACGCGGAGACGATTCGCCTGCACGGCTCACACACAAGTCAGTCGGATTCATTCATTTATCACTTTGTTTATGTTGCTTCAATGCCATTAATGCACAGAAAACATAAGTTTTATTTGATCATTTAGATAATATGTAAGTGTGATGTTTGTCAGGGGCTGGGTCCTGGTTGCTATGATACGTATCACGCCAACATCGACTGCCAGTGGATCGACATCACGGACGTACCGCCTGGAAACTACATCCTCAAGGTACAGAGTTAAACTATCCATAAAAATGTTGAAGACTTGTTTTAGAGTCACACATTGTAAAAGAATGAATTAGTCTTTGTATAAATGCAGATTTTAATGTGGACTTTATGAACAGTTCTGGCCTGATTTGTTCTTTTATTGTCAGAGTGTGAATTAATGTTTTTCTTTTCAGTGGTTCTACTCGACATTATCTGTAATTTAATAATACAGAGGAACAGTGAAATAAATAAGAATATTTAATTTTATATTTAAACATTGTAAAAGAATTAATTACTATTTATAGAAATATAGGTTTTTGATGTGAATGCTGCTTAAAATCCTGGCCTTGTTTTTTATTTTATTTATTTTTTAAAAATGTATTTTATTTTTTGTAATTTTACTAGTTATCTGTAATTTAACACAACAGAAAAAAATCTGTAAAATGCCAGTTTAAAAAATATAATTTTTAAAATCTTAGTATATATAATTTTTCATTTTTAATAATAGCAAACATCTGTAATAAATAATTAAATAAAGAGTAAGTTCACAATCGACCTTTGTACAAAAAAAATAGTAATAAATTCATCAACATTTATATAATTTACAGATTTGGCCAATTTTATTGTTAATTTATTTTATTTATTTATTTATTTTTTGCTAGATATTATTTGTATTTTACTAAAATGGAATGCTAGTCAGACAACAGTAAATTGTTTAAAAATAAGCAATTTATGAATGAAGGATGAATGTTTGTATTTACCTGGAGTTCCTGTTTTCCTGTTTCCAGGTGACGGTGAATCCGTCTCAGCTGGTTCAGGAGTCGGACTTCTCCAACAACGAGGTCCGCTGTGACATCAGGTTCACAGGAAGCTACGTCCAGGCCAGAAACTGCAGAATCACCACGTGAGTCCCACAAACAGACGTTTAATCCTCAATAAAAGATTTTAGGAGTAAAAACTAAAGCTGATGTTTGTTTCCACAGGAGCTGACCTGACTGAAGACTGAAGAGTCAACGGACGTATTTAACATCTTCCTGCTGCTCNTGGTGCCGATCACAGGAAAAATAATCAGTGAAAAGTAAAGGTTTTATGGTTGAAGGAATACTGGACCAAATCTGCACCATCAAGAGAGAGGAGGTAGAGGAGGAAGGAGAGGACCCGTATAACGATGAAGTGAAACACTAGGAAGGACCAAGAAAGGAGGGAGATCAGAGACATGAACGACAACGAGGAGGAAGAAGAAGAGGAGGTAGAGGAGGATGCAGCTGGTTGAGGCAAGAGGACCAATCGGAGGGCAGAAACGTAGGACGGGCATGAGGTGGCATGTGATGCCTTTTTGGCTGCCTGTGGAGCCCAAAGAAATAAAACCAGCCGTCCATTCAGATCTCCAGTTAGATGCCTAGAAGACGGGGATGCTGCTCTGAACGCTGTGAGGTTGGAATGGATCAGCTGACACTGTGAAGAAGGACACAACCTGCAGAAAGGGGTGCAAAAGGGTTTGGTTTGTGTTCTTCTATCAAACTGGAGCCCAAATGTCAGCGAGTCTGCAACGTTTCAGGACTCCAGCTGATTTATTTTTCAGTTTGTGGCACAAAGGACAAGATGCAAAAGTCGACTTTCTTTAAGAAGTTTTAACTCAAAAAGTTAAAGCACCTGCGACTAAAACTTTGACTTATTTTATTTAACAACATGGGATTCAAGGATTCAAGGCCTTCATTGGTCACAAACACAGTTATACACAGAATAACATGCAGTGAAATGTATTATGCACACCAAAATACTAAGAAGAAGAATAAAACTGAAGAATAAAACACAGAAAAAACTCAGATACGAGACGGTCAGGTGTTAACTTTAGTTTCTGATTTGGTGAATTGAGGAGGAATGATCCATGAACATGTTCAGGGAGTAAATCCAAGGTGCAGATGTTTCCAGATGTTGTAACACTGAGCAGCTTTAATTCCATCCACTCACTCCCTTTGTGCACCTTTTATTTATTCACTGGCTCTAAATGTCAAACTAAAGACTCTCCGGTTGATCTTTCCTCCTCCTCCAGGTCGGCCTACCATCCCAGCGTGAGTGACTTGGACTACAGGGTTCTGCTGAGGTTCCCGCAGCGAGTGAAGAACCAGGGGACGGCCGACTTCCTCCCGGTGAAGCCCAGACATGAGTGGGAGTGGCACAGCTGCCACCAGTGAGTCAGAATCACCTTATATGTGCACAGAGCCGGCAGCCAGTCGCTGCACAGCGATGTGGAGACGGCAGCAGGAGCAACATGAAAACACGACTTTAACCCGCTGA